TCTTTTTCTGATTTTAATACAATATCTTGGACATCACCACCAAAATGTACTTGTAATTTTGTATAATTATGATTACCGGTTGCTTTTGTTGGTGGTAAGGCATTTTTTCGGGGTGTTTGATCGTTCATTTTTCTAAATAAAAAATAAATTAGAAAACTATTAAGTTTATTTCTCATTCAAATTATCGCTTACAACTAAATGACTCTATTTTATTCAGTTGAAAACTTTAATTTTAATAAATGAAAAATTTCTTTTATGCTTTGTTTCTATTCATATTTAAAAACTTACCACAACAGCAATGGCAATTTTTACTTGACTACGACGTACAAAAGAAACTGAAAGATTTTTTTCTTCTTTTCTTCTCTATTCTTCATTGTTATTAGTCCGTTACCATAACAAAATCAACTTGTTTCATTTATTCTACATTTATTCTTCATCAATTTTTCTTTTTGCAATTCACATAAACATACATACATAGAATAGATATATACTGTCGTAATAGTCGAAAGAATAAAGAGCAAAACATACGTTCAACAAAAGACAAAAAATATAAAGAATCACACTGAACACATGAAAAAAAGAATATTTAGAACAATATTAATGTGAAAATCACAGAAGATATCACATAGTTAAACGAGTTGAGTTCGTATTTTTTACTATTCAACAATAACAAGATAGGGACTTCCTGGTACATGTTCCATATTTGACCCATAAAGAATAACTAACATATATTGACCACGTTTTCGAGCTTGATATGATACTTTATATATAAAACCAGGAGATGAAGAAGTCATGATACGTTTAATAACAAGACGTTCACATGGTCCAAGAGAAGAATAAAGACCAACTAATAATAATCCAGATCCTAAAGAAAAATTAATAGAAAAAAAAATTATTTTATTTCAAAAACTTTTTAACCTGCTTGACTAGCATCAATTTTAAATGTTGCTTTTCGTCTTGGTTTCGCTTCATAAAGACCTGTACCAAAAACACATACTTGTGATGCAATACCTGTCATTGATGAACGAAGAATATCAAGGTCAACATGATTTGTAGATGTTGTTGATGAATGAATAGGATGTAAAGCTGATTGAATAGGTAATAATGAATTACAACTTGATGTTACTTGTGTTGTAGAACCTGCCGTTGTTGTTTCATTTCCAATATCATTTTCTGTTTCATACATTGTCGATAGTGCTGTACGACTTTCATTAAGTTTATCTTAAATATATATTTAAAAGAAAGATTTTTTTCATTCGAAAACTAAACTTACTATAAACACGACATATAAATGGACTACCTTGAATATGTTTACCACCATTTTTTATTGTTATTATATATTTACCACTTCGTGTTGGTTTATAATGAAACTAAAAATATATATGAAAACAAACAAATGATCGATTTGTTAATAATTACTTCATAACCATGTTCTGTTTCATTAGCATCTAGAAAAACAGTTGATGGACCACTAATACCAACAGAAAACGTTCCTGTTCCTGATGGTGAATCATTGGGTGATTTTGAAACAAAAAATTGACTTGATTCGCCTAAATAAAATAAAAACGAAGATTTTAGTCGAACTTTCTAATCACTCGGTCATTCTCACCTGTGTAAGCATGAAATAGACCTTGTCCACTAGCAATCATTGATTTTATTGAAGAAGATGGTCGTACAACTAATCGACATGGATTATCAAGTATTGGTTTATGATTAAGACTAACATTAAGCCAATGATTACCACATGTATTTGGTATAAAATATATTTCATAACATTCTAAAAATATATATTTCCAAATGAACTAATAAAATCTTTCTAATGATTAACCTGATTTTGCTGATTTATGAAC